ATATATATATATATGTTAAAGACTTAAAGTTGTAATACACATCTTTATTTAATATTGAACCTTTTAATATAAATCGTTTATTTGATACTAAACTTTTTAGATATATATTGTTTTTGCTTTTATCATACATGACACTCTTCAAAATAATGAGAGATACATATATACCATAATTTAACATAACCAAAATGTCAACGCATGTGAAATCACGTACTATTATTATCAAAATATCAAAATACTCCTGCATAATGTTACAAATCAACAAAATTTGTATACTAACGGTGCAAATCAATTTGGTTCTACAATAGGAAACTAAAAATCAAATCCTAATAAAAATGTGGTCTAACAACTCGGTTTATTTACTTTAACATGCATACATATATGCATTTGGAGTTGAATTTTAAAGAAGCTAGTCATGCATGTGGATACAAATGGCATGGTAATTGGTTGTTTGGAATCATCGATCAATTTAAAAGATCTATTTATTTATATATATATATATATATATATATATATGTGTGTGTGTGTGTGTGTGTATGGTCGTATTTTTAATGACACGGAGGAAAATTATAGTGATTAAAGGTGACAATCCGAACCTAGAATATATCATAGAATTGATTCTAATTAGATCTTGGAATTAATTGGCTTAGAGTTAAAATGAGGGATATGTTGGTTTTCCTACCTTAGGAGCTCTCATATGTATGAGTTTGAGTTTCAACAATCTTGTGAGGAGTATATCAATATGTATGAGTTTGAGTATTCCTTATTCTCTTTCAACTTTCTTACACTATAAAAATAAAATCAATTATGGGAGGGAGGGCGAGTCCTTGGTCTAGCATAATCTGAGTGGAATCCAGGATTTTGGTCCTGTTTGCTACGAGGTACATGCCAAGAAACAAGAACAACCGATTTGTCTGGAACAAACCCTAAAATCTCTTGCTTCTCTTTGCTTTCTAGATGAGCCTTTTTCATGTGCTTTGAACTTTCTTCTCCTTCAGCTCCAATGTTGCTCTCAACCTTAATGCCTTCAGTTTTCTTCATTCCATTAAATTCTAAAGGTTGTTTCTTCACATTGTCTGAGACCTATTCACACAAAAATAATTAAAATAAACAAAATTGTAATAGGTCTTAGAACTCGAATAAAAATTATACTCAAAAGTTCATGTATAAATATATGTTATTCATTCCTTAAAATATGGCTTTGGTTCCTATTAGCAAGTCTCTTTTTTATTTGTTTTTAATTCTTAAAATCTACAACGTATAATATATTTTTATAGTGGTCTCGAGGAATTAGAAATGTACTACTCTTATTAAATATAGAATGCAAAAGTAATTAATATTTAAATAGAAACTACAATTAAAATGACTTATTTTCGGAGAAAAAAAAATATAATTATATGTTCAAAGGTTAATTATGTGGCAATAATACATCATATATATTCAATACTATCATCACTAGATAGAGTTTTTCTTTGTGGTATTTTCTTCTTCCCTTTCACAGATTTTCTGACATGAAAAATTTCCAAAAGTCACCTAAACTTAGCTCATCAAGTTGTTGCTCTGGTATTATGCACGTGTAAAAGGATTTAAACAAAAGGGCAGATTTATTTGAGTTGTGGAATAAAATAGAAAATTGCAAGTCTCTCTTTGATACCTTGTGGAGATGATAAAAATTGTGATGAGTTTTGAAATTTCCATACAAATTTCTTTCTTGAAACTTTCTGATAATATTATATTCTTCTCATTACAGATGATAAGTTATAAACTACGAATATAAAACAATAATGGATGAGATCGATGATGAAAACACAGACCTTTCTAGAAATGTTGAAATGAGTATTTGATTCATCTTCAACAGCTACAAGAGGACGAGAAGTGCACACATTCAAGGAAAGGATCATGATAAAAAGGGTCGATGGTAGAAACATTTAGTTTCTCATAAATGGACTTGGTTCAAGCTTACTTATAAGAGATAGATAAGAAGAAAAAAAATGAAAGCAGGAGTTAGCTCATGTAAGTTGAAACATGCATATATATAATTGCTAATGCAAGTGTAGTAGTAGATTAAAAAGAGTTAAGGAGGTAATAAAAAAGTGAAATTAACCTTAATTGTAGCAACATGAATTGTGATAAACAAGCAGTATGTGCAACCTTCCTAGCTAGCTATAGCTTTCAACATATACTATTATATAGTAACTTGTTACGATGTTAAATTTGTGTCCATAAATATAATAATACAAGAATGAGTGCAGGAGATATAAAGTGTGAGGATGATATTTTAATAATTAAGCTTATGGTCTATGGATTATAGAATGAGATTGAAATTGAATGATAACATTCGTTGTCTGCTATATATGACACTCACTTCCTTTTTTATGGTGAATATATGACACTCACTTCTCGACTTAGGATAAGAGTAGGTCCGGTAAATATAATCGATTATTGGTATTTGTCATGTTCAATTACTCAATAGAGACAAAATTAATAAATAATAGGGACAAAGAAGAAGCATGCTTCCGTTCCTTGCGGAGGTTATTAAATTCATGAACCACATACACACCTTTTTGTGGGGATTTGACACTGTCTGTAGACAGCTTCATAGATGTTGGTGTAAACATGTCAAAGTAATAATATCTTAATTCTTAACTACGGTCTAATCCAATCCTAGGAATATATGCTCATAAACTAATTAAGTAGCTGAGAGTGCTCCAAGGAAGTTGTGAAATAGTTAAAAAAAAATGGAAAATATTTCAAAAGAAAATTAGAGTGATTATTTTTTAAAATTAAGAGTTTTTTTTTTGTTATTATATTTATTTTTGAATTTTTAAATTAAATATCCTAATAATCTATTTTTTTTTAACATTTTACATCAATTAAATTACACATAATAACTTTATTATTCTACAAATGGGTGTGAAAATGTCAAGAGAGTAACCCATTATAGGTTGGGTTACTGCATGCATTTTATTCTTCAGTTTTGCACTTTTTATTCTTTGGTGTTACCACCCGAATACCACCAATAAAGATAGAAATTAAAGTGTGATGGTATGTGAGTGACATTTTCTAAAAAAAGATTAAAGCGTCAATCATAAAAAACTAATCATTAATGAGAACATATGTTAATGACAATACTGTTCATAAACCATTCTTCAAGAATATTGAGACAATAGCACGGTAAAAGACAAAGAAATATTAGTTCAATTCGATCTCAATTTCCACAATAGTTAATCAATCGTTTTCCTTTGAATATATATCCAGAATGTTGTTGAGAAGACAAAAGTAACCGCAGTTTTTTTTTTTTGTTTTTTTTCTTTTCTTTTCATTTTTATTCGTAAAAAGAAAATATAAAATAGGTCAGGTTGATTTTTCATATAAATGCATTTTTTAGAAATAAAGTCAAACTTAAAGATAACACAACGATTATCGTTGTTTCCTTCTCACAATTTTAGAAATAAGAAAATTGAAGTTTAAAATACAATATAGCAACTTTGTAATAAAACGATTGTAGCGAATGATAATTCAAGTGGTTTCGTCGGTTCGGATCAATGATAAAAAAAATATAGTTGGGATTTTTTTAGTTTGAATTAGATCCGAATTAGACTGATTAAAATTTGTTGATTGCATGTTTCGGATATTATATTTACATTTTTGAAATTTGAATTAAATTAAATTAAACTAACTATTTATATATTATATATTATATATTATATATTATATATTATATATTATATATTATATATTTATTGTATTGAATCCAACTTGTTTTAACAATGGTATAATTAACGGATTTAGTGGGGGATTGTATGGTAGTATACTTGCAAGACATCATCTGTTCAACTCTACAATATTATATATTATATATTATATATTATATATTATATATTATATATCTTATATCTTATATTATATATTATATATTATTATTATTATTATTATTATTATTATTATTATGATTATTAGTTAACATAACAAATGTGACTGTATAGAATCTAGATGAGTCAATTAGGTTAATGTCGGTGAGTATAGCTTTTATTAGATAATTTGATGTATGTTAAAAACTTTCATTTTATGTAGGATATTTTGATTAATTTTTTTTTATTATAGATGAAATATGATTTAATCAATTATTCATATGTTATTTTTTATAATTTATGTTATTATTTAATTAGTATAATTAAGTTAATTATATTTAAATATGTAACTAATTATATTGTTTTATGCCACCATTATCCATCAATTTTGACATAAAATCATGTTTATCTTTTATTTTTTAAAATAACTTTTTTTATTGGATATTTAATAACTCAAACTTAATCATATTATTCAACATCGAGTTAGTTTGATTTGAATTAAAAAAATATAAAATCTAAATTATTAAACTACAAATCAAAATAACTTAAATTAATTAGTTTAGATTTTATTTTTCCTCAGCAACCAATATGATCCCATTAATGTAACCAACAAGTGATGAGTTCTCAACTATGCAATAACCAAATTACAATGTTGTAATAATGACATGCATATCCAATAATCTACCTTCTATGTTGCATGTATGGTACCAGGTATATCGGTATCAATACAGGTATGAGATACATGATTTTTCAAAATTCTAAGATACAGGTACATTAATGTATTTTTAAAATTATTTTTTTAATTATATAAACCTAAGTAAATTTTATAAATGATAAAATGAATCACAAATAAACAAGGTACTTGTCACTTGAACTATTATATCAAGATTTAAAGAATTAAAATCATAACACCTAAAACATGATTACTATATCACACTTGAACTATAATGTACACTTTAATTGTGATATATTACACTTTAATAGTTTTAAACTCATTGTTTCCTTATTCAATATCCATGAAAAGAATTGTTTCTAACTTTGGTCATCAAGAGAAAGAGCAATAATTTCAAGAATGTCATCCTCTTGAAGTGGATCCCATTCATCTCCACCAATATGGAAACAACCCATATTTTGCTCTCACCCTCGATAACACTTCCTCTTTCTTGATAGAAGCCCAAGATTTGTATGCATTAAAACTAAACCTTATGATCTCTTAAGATTGAGCCTACTTCTTTCCATAGAATGGATAAAAGAATATGTACTCTAATTTCTCTCACGACAATAAGATGATAATGCTTTTGATAGAAGTTTCAATGCACCAGATTAAACTTTGGAGATTGTTGCACCAATAACAATACATGACCCACCAATCTTTTATTTTTACTTTTAATTTTTTGTTGTTGACATATATAAATTTTATTTTCGGACTTGGCTGAGTCCGATATATGTACCCAAAAGGTACCCATGTGTACTCATTTTTATTTTTTGAAAAATATTTCAGGTATGCACCTACAGGTACCCAACATGTATTTGACACACACACACACACACACATGCACGCACACACACACACACGCACGCACACACACACACACACACACACACACACACACACACACACACACACACACACACACACACACATATATATATATATATATATATATATATATATATATATATTTTGCGAATGATAATTACAAAAGCACTTCAACACATATCTTGTGCAAATTAATCTTGTGAAGTTATATAAATTTTGTGAATGATAATTACAAAAACACTTCAACACATATCTTTTGCAAATTAATCTTGTGAAGTTCAAGTGGATTGGGCCACTATCTTAATTGAACAAAGTCACCTCATAGTTTTAGTTTCTTTTAGTCTAGGCATGCATATTTATAGTTTTTATCACCTTACTAAAAGACATGATCCTAACTAGTGTAATCAAAAGTGAAAATTGTAAATACTCACTCTTATTAGTTGTGCCCAAACTCTTATCAAAATGTTCTAATTAAGTCTTTTGTATTATTTTTCCAGTGACAATCTTTAAGAAAAATCAAAAGTTAGAACATCTTTGTTGTAGTAATTTAGTTTTCTTTGATTATACTAAACTTATATATATATCTTCCCACTAAGAGTTATTCAGTAAACACAAATCTTACTTTATCTTGTAAGCCTAAAGAGACTACCTAAAGAATATGACAACATCTTGTTGTGTCTGGAAGCCAGAGGTGGCAATAAGAATACTTTCTTGTAAAAGTTTACAAATTAGTCAAACCATTTTTGTTCGAAGGTAACTGGATGTAGCTTATATTGATGAGTGAACTAATATATAAATTAAAGTGTTTTTCTTGTTATCCATTTTCTTTCACGTTTGTTTTGGACAAAAATCTTTTACGAACTAATAACTTTTATTTTTGAAAAGTTTTAAAATTTTCACACATTCAACCTCTCCTTTTTGTGCATTCTTTTTTATTTGAATTGGTATTAAAGCTCACCCTCTTGGGGTTGAGCATTTAATAGTGTAAGGTTAGAATGATCTTGTGGAAAACTAGGGACAAGCTATAAATTGTCCACCTTTCTTTAAAGGAGCCAAGTATGACTACTAGAAGTAGAGGATGACTACAGTTTTTAATGCATGTCACATCGACATGTGGGACATGGTGTAAAATGGGTATTACATTCCTTTGAATGAAAAATCAGAAGTGATCCTTAAAGACAAATGGAGTGATAAGCAAAAACAAAAGATATCTACTCAACTTGAAGGCTTGTAACTCCATCACGTACACTCTATCTGAAGATGAGTTCACAAAGGTATACAATTTCACGAGTGCCAAACATATGTGGTACACTCTCGCTCTCACATAAGAAGGTTTTCAACTCATAAACCATAACTCCAATGTAGCAATTACAAAAGAAAAGAAACTAAGATTTTCAAAATAGTTTAATGGAACCAACATCCTAAGCTAGTCCTAACTACACCCTCGATGTCACATATCCTAGCAGAGCACATCTAACTGAAGCTAAAGCTTCATCACCAACATCCTCATGTTGATGGTCATATGCAACACAGTAAAAGACACACATAGAACAAACAAGGGAGTGAGAAACATCTCACTCAGGTTAAGGTGTAAAAATAACAGTCAGGCAACACACACACAAATCATAACAAAGCACAGCACAAAACACATATTAATCAAGCACAACTCAAGTCATGCATACATTAGTAGCACATACACAGTCACTCATTATGCAATGATGCCATGGACTCAACTCACAAATGCATGCATGTGGCGCCAGTCACATATCACATATCACTGGTGTGCTTCCTAAACAACA